AACGGAGCCCCATACCTGTGGAAAATTTCCTCTAACAATAAGTAGACAATATTCTCAGCACACTTGCTCTTTACCGCAAAAGCTTCACCAAAACCAGAAAAATGACAAATAAAATAGGAGGTTTTTGTTTAGTTAAAGACCCCGATTGACATAACACGCATTCGTTTACATGATTATTAATGCGGACATACATGTTAGGGAAATAATAATGTCTCTTAATAGTATCGTGTGTTTTATCCACGCCTAAATGTCCGTTATCATCATGATATTGTTTTATAACAGTATTTTGGAGGTGTTGGGGTATATATAACCTCAATGTCGGATCATCATCGGGACTTGAGATGAAATATAATACTTTGTCTATGAGGAGAAATCTATTTTTTGTCTTACCACCACTTGAATTTTTCTCTAATTGTTTTATGATTGCTACAATTTCCGGATCTTCACTTTGTTCTTTTTCTATATCAAAATTATCCACATTTAGGTCTATTTTATCCGATAAATCTTTATCTGGGAGAATACATTTCGCGTATCTTTGCGGATCAAATTTATTTGAATTGAATGCACTAATCTCAAATATATTATTATTTGCGCGGGGTTCGATTGTTCCACTGGAACTATCATTATTATTTGATACTTTTGACGGAACCCTAGAAAGAAGATCGGCTATAGAATTTTGCTTTCCCGGGACATATTCTATTTTACAATCAAATCCCGAAATTCCCAATGGCCATAGCTGAATTTTCTTGTTTTGCATTGGTGATTCCAACAAATATTGCAGCGGCTTATGATCAGTTCGTATCGTAAATTTGGCATTATGCAGATAATAATCCAACTTTTGTAATGCGTAATGAATTGCATATGCCTCACGTTCTACTACACTCCACTTCATTTGTGAATTTGACAGTCTGTGTGATAGAAAGAAAATTGGCCGTTCTACTTTTTCTTTGTTTTCATCCTCATGTACCTGTACTAAAACTGCTCCTATCGCCGAATCCCTCGCGTCTGTATAAAGTATATACGGTAAATTTGGATCTGCATAAGCTAATAATGGAATCGTCGTTAAACTTTCTTTTAAAAATTCAAAAGCGGTTTGACATTCAGATGTCCATTTAAACTTGGCATATTTTTTTTGTTAATTTGATTATAGGTTCAGCAATTGTCGAAAAATTTGGTATAAATCGTCTTTAATAACTACACATTCCCATAAAACTCCTAACTTCTATTACAGTACGAGGCTGGTCCATATTTTGTATCGCACGAACTTTATCTTCATCAGTTTTAATTCCTTAAGGAGTGATCACAAATCCTAAATATTTTGTTTCTTGTTGGAAAAAATTACATTTAGATGGTTTTAATTTCAGTCCATGTTGTCTTAACCTATCAAAAACAATCTTAATATGTTCATAATGTTCTTGATTCGAACAAGAGTATATCAGTATATCATCAATATAGGCTATTGCAAAATTTTCGAGCCCCTTAAGAACGCGTGCCATCAAATGTGAGAAAATACTCGGACAATTGTTAATTCCAAATGGCATGACGTTAAATTCAAACAACCCTCTATGGCAGACAAACGCTGTCTTCTCTTTATCTTTTTCGTCTACCAAAACCTGCTAATACCCTGATTTCATATCCAAAGTTGTAAAATATTTCGATTTGTCTAATCGACTCAACAGATCATCGACGAGGGGCAAAGGCCAGCTCATTTTATTAAATTTTCGAAAATCAATGCAAAATCCTTTTGTTCCATCTTTCTTATCTACTAAGACAATAGGAAACGACCAAGGACTGTTGCTTTCTTTTATTATATTATTACGTAACATCTCGTCAATCGCCTCATCAACAACAGGTCTAGACGTTAATGGTGTTCGATACGCCTGCTGTTTAATGGGAAGATGATCACCTGTATCGATGGTCATCTTTACCGTATCTGTATGTCCTAACTCTGAGTCCCTTACCGCAAATAAATCATGATTTTCCTTCAAAAGATTAAGTAACTTTAATCGCTCAGTATTTGGTACATTAATATTCGCAAATTTTTCATTTATATTGGCATTACCCACGTGCGAAGTCTTCTGTAAGACTTGGTCTACTGACGCTATTGTACTGTCAATCTCAGCGATAGCGCGACCAACAACACACCCCTTGTTTAATCGAAACGTTTTGTTTGTACTATTTACAATACAAATTGGAATCATTTTACCCAACTGTTTAACCTGTTTCATGCTGAACACCGAATGTCTCACCATAAGTCCTGGTTCGTCACTCACAAACCCTTTAGTGGCTTGTTCAACCATGAATACGTCCTGCCTACTGTCATAATTATGTATCTTCAATTTTGCGTTAATGATAAACATCCTCTGAGGTTCTAAAATTACTTCGTTTGCTACTCGCAAAACAGAAGATATTATTACATCATTATCTAAGGAAATATACGTTTTACCAATTTTCATACATCCTAAATCAAAAAACAGTCCACAACCATGATAAACAAGAAAATCTCGACCTAAAATTACGTTTCTATTCATATTGGAAACAACATGAAAAGCATGTCTAACCTTTTTACCCTTAATTTGAAATTCCAAATTTGCCCAGCCTAATAATTTCAGTTCAAGTCCATTTACTGACTGTAATGTAATTTTACTTTTATTTAATTTTGGTTTATATTTTAAAGAATTATACACGTGGTCAGTAATTAAAGATACTTGTGCCCCTGTGTCAACTAATGATCGAAAAAAAAAATTTCTATTTTAATTAAACAAGAACTTGAACAACCAGATATATTTATATAACATAATGGCTTCTGATATTTACTCTTCCCGTCAGCCTCCCTGAAAGAGTTTCTTAGTTTTCCCGTTTGCACGAAGTTTTTGACCTAACCGATGGGGCTCTTTGATAAAACTTCGGATTTAATTTAATATAGTCTTGAAATTCCCTACAGTTGCGTTGGAAGTGTCCTTCTATTCCACAGAACCAACACGCCATACCTCGTCTATTACTCGCTTTAACCTCATTTACTACTCGCTTTTGACGACAATCGCGGCTCACGTGACCTCGACGATAACAAATTCCACACGTGCGGGGTCTTATATGGCCAATATCCATGGGTTCATGTTCCCTACTGTTCTGACTTGGTTGGGTATGCGGCGCTCCTAATCTCAACGCAAACCTTTTTCTAATATTTTGTTCCTGCCTAGCCATCTCAACTGTTGCGATAAATGTTTGCGGATCTTCACGCAATATTTTTGTTTTTATGTACTCTTGCTGCAGACCGTCAACGAAAAAACTAATCAATTGCCTATCAAATTCCGGCTGTCCGCTATAATTTGAAAAGGCTTCATCGGCCAAGGATAAAATCCTCACCGCGAAAACCTGTACATTTTCATCGGGTTTTTGTTTAATTTTCCGTAGTAACGCCAACGCTTGTTGGGTATCCGTAATTTCTGAGAAAGTGTTAATTAATTCTGTTTTTAATGCATCCCACGTCACATTTTCATTCGCTACCATCTGCCTTTGAATAAAATTACTCACCACTCCCCTACTTGATTGAAACGCTACTAACTTTACCTTATTCTCCGCGACTGCAGCGAGAACGCAATATTTTTAACCCAATCTTTAAATTGCTTCGGGTCGCCTTTGTATGGTTCAATTATATTCGCGACCGTATTCGTGGAAATCGAAGAAGACAAGCCTGACAATTGGGTACTTAAATTTCTGAAAATTTCCTCAGCCATTGTTTCAGATAGAATTTAGCGAAAACCAAAAAAGAGATACTCACAGAATAATTAATACTAACTGTCCTGGTATACGGCTCCAAATCTAACTGTAGTACTATCAGTTGTTCAATCTTCACGCTGTGTTTTCTTCCGTGACGAAGTTACAACTACAGTTCAGGTTCTTTTCTTAAAATACTTTATTTCTACAAACTGGAAGTGTTACAATTCTTCCTAGTCTCAAATAACTAAATGACTGGTGTGGCCGGCGGAGTGAGCTCTGCCGAATGCTATTTCCCCACCCTATTTTATAGGTGCCTATTCCTTTGTTTGAGGTGTTAATGTAAAGACTAATAACAACTAAGTTCTAAATATGGAAAAGACATGCACCCCAAACTGAACATCGCCAGGGATTGTTACCTTATTTGGTCAACAAATATGATATATGTTTTATAACAAAAAAAAAATGTGAATGACCAACATGCTCATTAATCTATAGCTCAGTTAACGTATCAAAATAACCGGCATATACCTTCAATATTTGTGGTTATGAAGTTAGAATCAATAATATGAAAGATAACGCTATTGTTCTAGCCATCATATTTCTGCATTCTTGTCTATAGACACCTTGTCTGGTTATTGTCATAATATTCAAAGCCAATTTAATTTGCGTTTCAGAATTTAACTTATACCATAACTAATATATTGACAATGGAGAATAATTAATCAAAATCCTATTATTTTACATAGATGTTTCAAAGCACAAATTCTTTCCCTCCATATTACTACACTTACTACTGCTACAAAACGTTATATAAAGTTTTTGATGTACTGGACTAAATGCTAGATCATTATGACTCTTTTACTTTGATATACTGGACTAAATGACAGATCTTTATGACTCTTTTACTTTGATATACTGGACTACATGCTAGATAATTGTGACTCTTTTACTTTGATATACTGGACTACATGCTAGATCATTGTGACTCTTTTACTTTGATATACTGGACTAAATGACAGATCTTTATGACTCTTTTACTTTGATATACTGGATTACATGCTAGATCATTGTGACTCTTTTACTTTGATATACCTGGACTACATGCTAGATCATTGTGACTCTTTTACTTTGATATACCTGGACTACATGCTAGATCATTGTGACGCTTTTACTTTGATATACCTGGACTACATGCTAGATCATTGTGACTCTTTTACTTTTATATACCTGGACTACATGCTAGATCATTATAAAATTGTTTTTTTTTATAATTTATTAAGAGGTTACACCAACAACTCCTACAAATAACACAATAAAAAATGACCTGAGACCAAAGGAAAAAGAATATTCAGGCCCCAAGAAATTGTCCAGTACGAATGTTGATGGATTACGATCCAAAGCGGGCAGAATGGATGAAAATAATACAAAGAAAATATCAAAACAGGAAGAAATAACCAATGAAGGTAAGTTGTAGTCATAAGAATATCCAATAATTGCTCGTTATCGCGACAGAGACCAAAGTTATTGACGGATTTCTTTTAAATAAGATATGGTAATTGGAGACCTTGAGACGTTTGGTACCAGAGTTATCAACCAACCAATCGTCTACGGTCCATGGAAACGCGACCTTTGGGAGAAAAGTCTGAAAATCCAACCGTCGCTTTCACACACGTTTTCCCGGCTATGCCAGTCCGTAAAAACAACAACTTCAATGTGGTCCAATATGGCCTGATCTGAATTAATCGTTAAGTGCCGGTCGTCGCCGGGTATGGGGACCTGTTAAATGCATACAGTTAAACCTGGGTGTGTACGAGGACACATAACACATCCCTACTTTCATAATAATAAAAAATTGGTCTACATATGTGGTACACAAAGTGTCGGCATACACATCGACAGAAACACATTGTACTCCTAATGAAATACTTCTTTGACAAATACAAAATGGTCATACACTTTTTAATTAACGTGTGTTATTTAATCATAATTGGACATTATTTTATCAATAAGAATTGATATACTATAATACTTATCAATTAATATTTTACAGACCGGGTATGCAATAACACGCTGTGTGATATGAATGGTGGTACTTGTGGTGTATTTACCTGTAAAACAGGCGGTTAGTAAAAAAATCTTAGTCTTCAGTCTAGTATTTTACCATCTGTCTTCCCAAGCATATTTTAACTATCTAACAAAATTTGTATTAAAAACATCATCGATTATTATATTATATATTTTATCATATGGAAGCAGTGACAACACATAAACACCAATCCCTTAGTAACGCTATAGTCAGTGTCTGTAAAGGGATGTCGTGTAATCGCCATACTATTTTGTCATTGTGTTAAACTTATAGTCTGTAATAATATATAGGCTATACTTGGTTGTAATACCTGTATATAGATAATATTCCAGCGCCATCCCCAACGTGCATATTTATGTGTAAGATAAAGCAAGAGACCGAGGTTATGCTGGGGAAAGAAGAACTGAAGAAAATAACCCGAGAAGTGAATGCATTTGGATTCTGATGTGTTGATAAGGACTTTCCATCGCACGCACCATTCGTTAACCTTGTCAAGCAGTAGCTGTAGGCATCTTTTCGCTAACAGTATAATAGTATCCTGTAAGCATATAGTATCCTGTCAGTATATATTACAGTGTATATTATAGTATTTATCTAGGTCTCGAGACAACATCAATTATGTGTTATGTCGAAAATAAATTAGAGGCCAGCTGCATCTTCCACAAATTTTGTTAACAATGTAGGCACCATGATCAAAATAGTGGCCTACACAGTGTGAAAATTGTTCTACACTGATTATTCTGTTGACTGACAAACTATGTTTTACTTATTTTTTCTGATATTGTTGGAATTACTGCATTCCATACAGACCACCATTTTGGTTATTTGGTTAAACGAGGTATGCTAGATCTGCTTGATATATTAAAGACGCAGTATGTAAGATTTAGATAAAGACCTGAAAGTTCTCGCTATAATAGTTTAAAAAGAGATAATGAAAAATGAATGTATTGAAAATTTCAGTCATGATAATAAACATAGTTTCTGATCCAGGACAGGAAAGTTAATCAGACTCTTTCTAACAGGATTGACTTTGTTATTACAGGCGAATCATGTGGGTCTGGACATTGTCCTGTCGGTGCAAAGTGTGTAAATGACGTCTGTAGAGGTCAGTAAAATGTGATAATATTAACAATCCGCCCCTGGAAAGCCTTATTTATTTCAACAGGGGCGGTTTACTGCAAGGTCAATAAATGCAGAGAAAAATGACTTAAGCAACTGTGATCTATTATATAGTTTTGATCTCGTGTTGATCACTGGCTTGAGCAAATATTACTCTTCAAAAAAAGTAGGGGATATTGAAATGCAAATACCTATGGACACTTGAGAGTATGATCACAGATGAAGAACTTATCGCCCCAACAGAACCAATGAGCTGTATGTGCGACACGCAAAAGCGCCATACACGTGGGAAGGGCACATTGACAAATTTGACACTTCAAGGAAGGGTTGATGAAAACTGCCGCGTGCTGGTTTATCATATCCATGTTTGCTTTTCTATCGGTTCTTGCATAAGATTTACTGTTTAGCGTATCTTTGCTTAGGCGTGTTACGTTTAATTTGCAATGAGATGTCTTCAACATGATAAACGTCTACGTGCTATTGGTATGCTTCAAATGGGTTCTACACAGCGAGCAGTAGCCAACATGCTTAATGTTTCACTATGGAACCGGTACCAATAAACACACAATGCTGATGATAGACCTCGTTCAGGTCGTCCCAGAGCCACTACACAAGCCCAGGATCGATACATTCGTACTCAGGTCCTGCGAAATCGAGGACAAACGGCCAATCACCTTTCTGTAAACTTGTACTAAGTTACAGGAATTCGAGTTACACCCCAAACGATTAGAAATCGGCTACATGCAGTACATTTGCATGCGCGACGACCGCGCTATGCCCCCATCAACACTCGCCAGCACATGGCAAACAGGCGCCCATGGTGTAGGCAGCGTAGAAATTGGGGTAATCATCGATGGGCGCGTGTAATGTTCTCAGATGAGTCCAGATTTACTCTGGATTTCACCGATAGGCGTGCTAGCGTTTAGAGGCGTGCTCGCGTTTGGAGGCGTGTAAATGAGCGTCACGCTAACGTTAACGTCAGACAGCATCCAGATTCGGGCGTGGGTCTGTTATGGTGTGGGGAGGAATCACCATGACTTGCATATTGGTGTGTAATACCGTGACCACATCCTGGAACCGATAGTTCTGCCCTTTGCAGCTCGACGTTTCAACTTTCAAGATGTTAATGTCCAGTAACTCTATTAATTGATTGGCTATTATTATAATGTGACTTTCAGCAGATAACCCTGAGCTTCATCTGGATACCAATAACTCAAAGAGCTTAAAAAGTGACTTGAGCACTTGTGTTATGACCGTGATGAATAGGTAGTCCGGTGTATTTGCGTCACGTTGTGTTAAATTGAACTTCTCTACGGACTTAATATGACTTCAATATAACTCATTTGTTCTTCTGAAATAAGTTGTATATCAAGCACAGAGTCATAGACACAAGCCGCAAATAATAGTTTCTATTTAGCTCTTACACGTAAAAAATGTGCTTTTACTGATAGTTAGATATACAATTGTAGACAGCAAATACGTTTCAAAATCACAGCAGTACTTTGGGCCTTGACCTCTCAATTAAACCCCGTCAGTCGGATGACACGAAAAACCGAGGTCCCGTGTACACGTTAGTGTAATACTATGTAGAGGTTATTTAAGTTCTCTAAATGATGCGCTGTTTAATATAGAAATTCGTTACCTACATGATGTGTGACGAAAAGCAGGGGACTATTAAAATGGGTTCGTCCGTCTATCTGTAAGCATATAGTATCCTGTCAGTATATATTACAGTGTATATTATAGTATTTATCTAGGTCTCGAGACAACATCAATTATGTGTTATGTCGAAAATAAATTATAGGCCAGCTGCATCTTCCACAAATTTTGTTAACAATGTAGGCACCATGATCAAAATAGTGGCCTACACAGTGTGAAAATTGTTCTACACTGATTATTCTGTTGACTGACAAACTATGTTTTACTTATTTTTTCAGATATTGTTGGAATTACTGCATTCCATACATACCACCATGTACGTTATTTGGTTAAACGAGGTATGCTAGATCTGCTTGATATATTAAAGACGCAGTATGTAAGATTTAGATAAAGAACTGAAAGTTCTCGCTATAATAGTTTAAAACGAGATAATGAAAAATGAATGTATTGAAAATTTCAGTCATGATAATAAACATAGTTTCTGATCCAGGACAGGAAAGTTAATCAGACTGTTTCTAACAGTATTGTCTTTGTTATTACAGGCGAATCATGTGGGTCTGGACATTGTCCTGTCGATGCAAAGTGTGTAAATGACGTCTGTAGAGGTCAGTAAAATGTGATAATATTAACAATCCGCCCCTGGAAAGCCTTATTTATTTCAACAGGGGCGGTTTACTGCAAGGTCAATACATGCAGAGAAAAATGACTTAAGCAACTGTGATCTATTATATAGTTTTGATCTCGAGTTGATCACTGGCTTGAGCAAATATTACTCTTCAAAAAAAGTAGGGGATATTGAAATGCAAATACCTATGGACACTTGAGAGTATGATCACAGATGAAGAACTTATCGCCCCAACAGAACCAATGAGCTGTATGTGCGACACGCAAAAGCGCCATACACGTGGGAAGGGTACATTGACAAATTTGACACTTCAAGGAAGGGTTGATGAAAACTGCCGCGTGCTGGTTTATCATATCCATGTTTGCTTTACTGTTTAGCGTATCTTTGCTTAGGCGTGTTACGTTTAATTTGCAATGAGATGTCTTCAACATGATAAACGTCTACGTGCTATTGGTATGCTTCAAATGGGTTCTACACAGCAAGCAGTAGCCAACATGCTTAATGTGTCACTATGGAACCGGTACCAACAAACACACAATGCTGATGATAGACCTCGTTCAGGTCGTCCCAGAGCCACTACACAAGCCCAGGATCGATACATTCGTACTCAGGTCCTGCGAAATCGAGGACAAACGGCCAATCAGCTTTCTGTAAACTTGTACTAAGTTACAGGAATTCGAGTTACACTCCAAACGATTAGAAATCGGCTACATGCAGTACATTTGCATGCGCGACGACCGCGCTGTGCCCCCATCAACACTCGCCAGCACATGGCAAACAGGCGCCCATGGTGTAGGCAGCGTAGAAATTGGGGTAATAATCGATGGGCGCGTGTAATGTTCTCAGATGAGTCCAGATTTACTCTGGATTTCACCGATAGGCGTGCTAGCGTTTAGAGGCGTGCTCGCGTTTGGAGGCGTGTAAATGAGCGTCACGCTAACGTTAACGTCAGACAGCATCACAGATTCGGGCGTGGGTCTGTTATGGTGTGGGGAGGAATCACCATGACTTGCATATTGGTGTGTAATACCGTGACCACATCCTGGAACCGATAGTTCTGCCCTTTGCAGCTCGATGTTTCAACTTTCAAGATGTTAATGTCCAGTAACTATATTAATTGATTGGCTATTATTATAATGTGACTTTCAGCAGATAACCCTGAGCTTCATCTGGATACCAATAACTCAAAGAGATTAAAAAGTGACTTGAGCACTTGTGTTATGACCGTGATGAATAGGTAGTCCGGTGTATTTGCGTCACGTTGTGTTAAATTGGACTTCTCTACGGACTTAATATGACTTCAATATAACTCATTTGTTCTTCTGAAATAAGTTGTATATCAAGCACAGAGTCATAGACACAAGCCGCAAATAATAGTTTCTATTTAGCTCTTACACGTAAAAAATGTGCTTTTACTGATAGTTAGAGATACAATTGTAGACAGCAAATACGTTTCAAAATCACAGCAGTACTTTGGGCCTTGACCTCTCAATTAAACCCCGTCAGTCGGATGACACAAAAAACCGAGGTCCCGTGTACACGTTAGTGTAATACTGTGTAGAGGTTATTTAAGTTCTCTAAATGATGCTCTGTTTAATATAGAAATTCGTTTCCTACATGATGTGTGACGAAAAGCAGGGGACTATTAAAATGGGTTCGTTGTCTATCTGTCTGTCCGTCACACTTTTTGGGACACAATAACTCTCCTTCTAATTGAGCTAGAATGTTCAATGCTTTGGGACAAGATAACATTGATTCTATCTGATAGAGAGTGATGAAACTTAGTGTATAGTTGATAATCAGTTTGATTGCTCGATACTTGTGAGAAAAATAGATGTGCGATTAATTAATATGTGTCATCTATTTATTTGGGGATTTCGGCGGGGGACATCAGCCTCACTGTTGACTTGTTAGCCTTGTGATCGTCTAGTATTTCATATCGTTATATGTTTTCTATTTCAGTCCTGTGTACTAATGATTTATGTATGTTTGGTACCTGTGACACAGCAACAGACACATGCAACGGTAAATATACCAGTTTTTATTATGTTACAGATAGGTGACAACAAGATATGTACCAAATGAAAACAGGAGCTCAAACAGTTCCATTAGCATCATTACAGCATGGTGTTAAGTTATATATTTTCACTGCGAAATGTATAGAATTCAGAACATTCTTATCTCACTGAGTTGGAATTCAATATAATAGTAGGCCATTGTACCGCTGTTCTCTCATAACACACTGTATGGCGTATGTCCGTCTTCATTAGCCCAGTCGGAGCAGTAGAGTGGGACGTTAAATCTCATTTCATTTTTGTTAACGCCATGCTAACCCCACTGCTGGCCCTTACCATAACGCCATTTAGAAATCTGAACAGATCACTGTCTTTAGTCTTGTTTAAACCAATAATTGTATGAATGAGCGCTTGAATTAAAATCACCATAATGTAGCAATGACAGCGATAGAGAATCTCAATGCATGCCATGACGACGAAATATCAGATGTTTCCTACCTTGTTGCCGACAACTGTTCCTTGGTTTTCTTCGACATGTTCATGTCAATGAAATAAGATGGGATTTAACGTCCGACGGTTCAGCATCGACTGGGCTCATGACGACAGTGTGTTCTTATATACATACTCTTGAATCAGTTGCAATCTGAACTACGTACATCTTGACCCAAACTACACAATTACGTAGTTGTTTGTTTCATTATTTCAAATTCCCCTACAGTCCAGCATTGACATAAAAATTTGCTTATTTCCAAATCACAAAATCACACCCACCACATAACCATACGGACATAAATGTCTAATTACATCTTCTTTGATTGAGCATAGGTGAATTGAAGTACCCCCCCCCCCCCCGCATATGCGAACTAAAAAGAAACCTTGACATTATTGTATCCCTATATGATATGACTGTCTAATATCTTTGGTATCAACATGTTCCTTTGTTGATGTAAAATAATGATCAATATTTACAGCTCCGTGTAATACTCCCGCTGACTGTGGTGGACAGCCATAGTACCTTTGATTAAAGGTCATCTGTGTTGGATGTGACTGCAATTACTAATTTAATCGATTTAATGAGTAGTAGTAGCACAAAGTGGAGCTTCAGTTATCATCCCCTCCCCCGAAGTACCATGAAAGCAGACAACTATTTAAATGTCTTACGTCACTTTGGTTCTAAATCATGAGAGAGATGGAAATTAAGCTTCACGTCGAATATATATTTCGGGACAAGCACATGGATCAGTATTATTTCGGTAATTCACTTGCGGGTGGGGTTCCTTAACAGTAGGTTAAACCGGAGGATCCGGAGAAAATCCACGAGTTTGGACAAGTAACCCTACTCCCTGTAAATTACAACCATGCCACTTGACTCAATGAAATACCTTATGATCTAAATCGATAGAAAGTGATGTACGTGCTTTTCAGATTGGCCGATCTTTACCATCATTGATCTGCCTATGCGTGTTCCAGAATTTGAAATGATGGCAGGAGAGCGCCCATCTTGGTGTCTATATTGCCAATGAACATTTATCATGCCAATAATTTGCCACCACGTAGCCTCTAATAATTTGCCACCACGTCGTCTCTAATAATTTACGGTGGTACTAAGTGCTACATGTAAACATTACCAACTTGAACGTGGCAGTATATGCATAGGGTGTATCGAGAGAAAATCATTGGTAAAAATTTCAATAAATCGTTAAGAAAAATGCTCTATTTTCTTAATTCACTTTCTTAATGACTTTAACGTAATCAATATAGCTAGTAGTTGTAATAACTTTCTATTTTGTTTTGGTAACGTAAAATTTGAATCGGATTAATATTTTAATTTTGTTCAATTGCAGTCCCATTTTGTGAAGAACATTTTTGCTGTAAGTAAATATACATTTTATTGTTTTCTCTAATTTAGAAAACTGAGGTGTTAGAACACTAGTGATGGTTATCTATGGAAGGATAACGTTGTCAACATTATTTCAATGTTCACTGTACAAAATAACAGTAATGTATTATTGAAAAGTGTATTCTGTATTTTAACACTTTCACATTGGTATTGTGGAGCAATGGAAATTGCAAATTGTAAACCTAAAATACATATTTTGAACTGCGGACACATGTATTTAGCACCGTGTACATTGAAATAATATTGGCAACGTTATCCTTCCATAGTTATCTCCCTAGAACCTTTTATACAGTGTTACGCAAAGTCCCACTGCCACAGCTTCTTTTTCTTTCCTGGATCTCGCCATTTGCTTTCCGACCCTGTATCAGGACTTTACATGGAGAGTACACGAAGATTTATGTGGTAGTGACCACTTTCCTATCTTGATTAATAATAATTGCCCCTCTCCGGTCGAAAGACCCCAGTGGTGGAAGTTGCATAAGGCTGACTGGACTCTTTTCAAATCTTTATGCCTCTTCTCTTTTGGTGCAAAGGAGTAAGAAATGCAGATGAGCCCATAGCCTTATTCACTTCAATTCTTCAAGATGTAGCTTGCAATGAACGATGGTCACGACGCCATGAGCTAGGCAGGAAGGGAAGTTTTATTACTCCAGACATGCGTACAGTATACCTTCGTTAAGGGGAAATAACTCCAATAACTAAACTATCATGTTATGATGTACAAATACATTGCATCCTCTTTCTTTATTTTTTTTAAAAAACTGTAATTAACATTTACTTGAAATAGGGTTGCATCAACCATTTAAATTCGAAAAATATTTATGAAATAACTTCAGAACCTTAAATACAGTATTAAGGTATATTTATGCCGAACAAGGTTAGATATTCAAAGTTCTCTTCCACGAGCTGACTAGATAAGTTCACTAGAACACTGTTCAATAAAAAAAACAAAAGAACAAAAAACACAGTTAATGAGTATCAAGTTCACATATAGTCTTTCAGGTAGCTTGGTCTACGGATTTCTCGACCACGACGTGTCGTATACGTTTGTTCAACATTTTTGTTGAGCGTGATTTGTGACTGCTTTGGATCTGTCACGGACGCGTGTGACTTGTTTCTATTTACGTTTTGACTCGCGGGCACAGGTGTGTCCATTCCGTTCTTTGGTATGTTTAAACCCTGGGGATATAAAACGGTATCAGAAGATACTTTTGCGACATATCTGTGTGGTTCTTCTCGCGTTTTCATGAGTAGTTCTGTATTCCTCCGATATTCGTTCGCTCGATCACCTGCTTTGACAATGTACGATCGCGGTTAAGTCGTTTTTTTCACTAATTCGGCTGGTCTCCATCCTTGAGGTGTTCGAATTCGTACTGCGTCACCTGGATAAATTTCCTCCTTAGCTTTAGTTCCCTTATCGTAGTAGACCTTCTGATGTTGTCGATGACGTAGCAATCGATCCTTCACTTTGCACGGATCTGACGTTTTAGGTTTCCTTAGGTGTTCCGTTATTGGGAGTAGTGTCTTCGCACGTCTGCCCATTAATCGTTGCATTGGTGATCCAATTTCTTCGTCACGAGGAGTGTTTCTCAACTCGAGTAAACATAAATACACGTCGTCTCCCGTTTGTAAGCACTTCTTAATAATGTTCTTCACCGTCTGTACTGCTTTCTCAGCGAGTCCGTTCGACTGTTGATGTAAAAGCGACGATGTCACATGTTTTATACCGTATGCTGACATGAAATCTTTAAATTCTACGCTCGCAAATTGCGGTCCGTTGTCGCTGATAAGAGTGTCCATGATACCATAACGAGCTATATTTTCTTTTAGGTGCTTGATAACGGTTTTAGTTCGGGTATCTTGTAGTAGTGGAGCGACTTCTATAAAGTTTGAAAAATAGTCGACCATAATCAAATAATGGAGCCCGTCGTATTCACATAGATCAGCTCCTACTTTGCTCCACGGTAGCGTTGGAATCGGCTGAATAATCATCGGTTCCTTGGGTTCTTTGTTCGGTACATGAGACACGCTCCACATCGGCTCACCATGTCCTCAATCTGCTTATTCATACCGGGCCAAAACACTAGTTCTCTGGCTCGTTGCTTGCACTTGACGATTCCCATGTGTGACTTGTGAATAATATTGAGGATAACTGATCTCAACTCTGCAGGAATGCACGTTCTTTCTCCGCGGTATACGACTCCGTTGTATGTCGAAAGTTCACCGCGATAGTCCCAATACGCCAACGCTTCTGGGGATACGTCACCTCTGTTTCCGGGCCAGCCATTGCTGATCACCTGTTTTAAAATTTGAAATTCTCTGTCCTTTGTTGTTGCATCCGCGATTCTGACATGGCTACTACACGATAACGTATCGGCCGTGAGCACCATTATCTCGTGATCTATTGTGTTCTCTCCGACTTCGTCCAAGGGTAGTCGGCTGAGGCAGTCTGCGAGTCCTATGTCCTTGCCTTTTCTATATACCAATTTAAACTTGTACGGTTGTAGTTTTAGCACCATTCTCTGGATTCGCATAGGCGCTGTATGAATCGGTTTACGCATTATGTTTACCAGTGGCTTGTGATCTGACTCGATTGTAACATCAGATTTTCCGTAAATAAGATTACGAAAACGTTCGCACCCGAAAACTACTGCCAACATCTCTTTTTCGATCTGCGCGTATCTCTGTTCGGCTGGCGAAAGAGCTCGTGACGCGTATGCGACGACTCCGTCTTGAAGAATTGCAGCACCTAAACCTTTCATGCTGGCATCCACTGTTAAGGCCACGGGTTTCCTCACATTATAGTATTTAAGGACTTTGGTTGACGTTAATGCGGACTTGACGTTTTCGAAGGCCTGTTTCGCGCCTTTGGTCCAGTTCCAATTTTCTTGCTGCTTAAGATCACGGAGAGGCGCATTGAGTTCGCTTAAGTTCGGAATAAACTTAGACACATAGGCTAACATGCCCAAGATAGTTTCAAGTTCGCTGTGGTTTTCGGGATCCTTCATGTTTAAGATAGCCTCTACTAGTTTTGGTGTAGGCTTTAAACCGTTTCCGGTCAGCCGGTGACCTACATAGTCCACTTCAGATTGTGCGAACTCACATTTGTCTCTGTTAAGCCTTAAATTTATTGACCTAGCCTTGGCAAGAACTTTCCGAAGTCTTGCATTGTGCTCGTCCAGTGATTTGCCGTGTACCAATATGTCATCTACGACGACCTCGACTCCGTCTACACCTCCAAAGTGCGTAACCATTTCTCGCTGGAACACTTCTCCTGCACATTTAAGGCCCATCGGCAATCGTAGATACCGATAACGCCCGAAGGGCGTATTGAACGTCGTTACATACGAACTTTCCTCGGTTAACTTTACTTGATAGTAACCCTTGTTCGCGTCAAGCTTAGAAAAATACTTACTGCCATGTACTCTTGTTACTATGTCATCGATGCTGTTCATCGGAAAATTTTCTCTCATTATGGCTTTATTCAAGTTAAGCGGGTCAATGCAGATACGGACTCTTCCATTTTTCTTCCTAACGCACACCATACTATTAACCCAATCGGTTGGGCGCGTTACTGGGGCAATTATACCGCATTTCTGTAAGTTGTCAAGCTCTTGTTTCACCTGATCCCGAATCGCCGCTGGTACCGGTCTCGGCGCGTGTATCGCCGGTTGTGCCGTACCATCAATTTTGATTTCATACTCGCCCGGGAGACATCCGATTTCTTCCCCGACGACGTCACTGTAATCCTTGATCAGATCTAGCGCCGTCACACTGTTTACTCTGGCGATTAATCCTAAACGCGTACTATCTTCTCGGCCAAGTAAGTTTAAGTCTCTCTTCGTGTTTAATATCTCGAATTCTATGTCATGCGTTGAATTTTTGTACGTGCATGGCAGTGTTATCTTTCCGACCGCTTTGATGTGATTACCGCTTACACCGTTAATGAGTACTTCACTTTCGTGTATTTCAGCAACGTCTCGGAATTTGGCTGCTGTTTCCGCAGACATTACGTTACATCGTGCACCGCTATCTATTTCAACCGTTAACTCTTTATCGAACGCGTGCAGCTTGACCGTCCATTCATTATCTGAATGTGATTTTCCTGTTTTTGTGGTAAATACGTCACACGTAGAACAATGGCTGAACATCTCGTTTAGTCGGTCATTATCGTCTTCCTTGTCTGCGTGATGCACGGCACGATTCTCTCCACCGCGTCGGTTAAAGCGTCGTCGTCCTCTGGTACGACCATATCCGCTTCCTCTGGCGCTCCGGTATACGCTTCCACGGTTGTAACTGCGACGAAAAATACCACGACAAATATCAGATTGTTTAAAATGTCCTCTTTCACCACAAATGTCACAACTTTTACTAAATGCGGGACAACGTCGGTATTCGTGATGCCTGCAACAATTTACAAAGTATGGATGATCTCCCTTGTACCCTTGACCCCTGGATGGTCTGTTTGTCGGTCCGCGGCTTGTGTGTGCCACGTTGACAGCAGGGTTTTCCGCATCCAATGATTTTAAATGTGTGTTCGTTAGTTCGACTTGACGGCATGTTTGTATCACTCGGTCGAGTGTTAACACTTCAGCGGGAATTTCCATTAATTTCTCGGAGCATTTTCGGTCGTTGACCCCGTTGATCACCATGTCGCAAATGAATCCTTCCTTTTGTTCGCCATATTGGCAATGCTCTGCCTTACGTTTTAACGTTGCTATAAAGTCCATAATTGACATTGTTTCACGCTTAGTGTTCAAAAATTCTTGCCTCTTAATATTTCTGTATGTGTGAACGCCGAAATGTTGATCAAATTTCCTAAACACAGTCTGTAAGTCGTACTTGTCTTCGGCTACTCGTGCGACCACGTTGTTTTCCTCGTTTGCTTCCACGCCTGGTGCCCAAATAAACGAGTCATAAATTTTCACAGATTCTCTTCCCATATTGGATAAGATGACTCCTACCTGTCGTCTTCCTGGTTTGCTGTCCAGTCCAAGCTCATCCAAGTGTATTAAAAAATCACGCTTGTACAGTTTCCATTCTGGAGCACTGGATTCAGCTGGGTTGAATTCAGACAACTTTCTCAACCCCCGTTGACGACATCTTTTATTACTAGTTGCTATGCCTGTGGCTTACAGTCTTATGCACCTTCGTTGATTCAATATTTTTACCTTTTAAACATCTGGGCTGGCCGATGTTGTAGGATTATGCTGACACCATGTAATGAACGATGGTCACGACGCCATGAGCTAGGCAGGAAGGGTAGTTTTATTACTCCAGACATGCGTACAGTATACCTTCGTTAAGGGGAAATAACTCCAATAACTAAACTATCATGTTATGATGTACAAATACATTGCAGGCGATTCCACAAACCACGCCTGAAACAAAACGTTTCAATAAACAATGGTATAATGACGATTTACATTTTTAAACACTCTTAAAGGAGCTAAATCGCTAACATTTGGGACCTAAAATTGACACAAGTGGGTCGCAATTCATATAATAATGTAATATGAATGTATATAAACTGATTTACATTCAATCGTTTCCGTTTTTACTCTTTTTTTTCAAATCAGTTATGTTCCGTGAAATAAGACAGCAGTCTCAATCGAATGCAAATTCCTAGCGTCTGGTTATTCCAGTCTACATACGCAATATGTCTAGCCTCGTTCCTCGAGTCTCTTGCTAGAACTGGGGCTGAAACGCATTATGGTACACGATTCGTGTACCAATGGTAAAATATTTATTTTGTCTTAAATATTAGATATCAGAAGCCAATCTTTTTCCGGTAAGATCACAGCATCAATGTTGTTTTAAATTGACAAATAATTCGTGTTTTCAATGTTGAAGATTTTGGATGATATTGAGTTAGAGACTTAGCTACTTTAATCTTAATTTTACTGATTCTTTTAACCCGATTTGAGTTGATGGAAATTTCCCTTCTTCGTGGCATGAAACCACAATAACTCCCATACGAATCCTACCAACTATCGTCCGATCGCTTTAACTAGATGTATTTGTAAAACCATGGAGAGATTGATCAATCGAACGGTTGATTGGTACCTTGAGTCCAAATACCGTATTACTGACCTCCAATGTTTATTTCAGTCCCAAAGGATCACTCTTTATCATCTCTTTCCATTTGAAACGTTTGTCCGGGACGCTTTCATCCAGACAAAACATTTAGTTGCAATATTTATCGATCTGGAGAAAGCTTATGATACTACATGGAAACATGGTATCATGCGCGACCTCCATAACCTTGACCTAAGAGGTCTCTTTCCTGTCTTCATTAAAATTTCCTGGAAGATAGGTGATTTAAGGGCTGGGATCAATATTCTCTGACCCATGTTCAATTGTGGATGAAACCAAATTTTTGGGGCTAATATTTGATAAATTATCATTTATCCCCCACATTAAAAGCCTAAAAAGGAATGTCTGAAAGCCCTCAACATATTGAGAATCTTATCAAATACTGACTGGGGAGCAGACCGTAAGGTCTAAACTCGACTATGGGTGTATGGGACTGCAGGGGAGTTTTATCCCAATGAGCTCGACACCATACACAACCAGGGATTTAGGAGCATTTCATACATACATCTCCAGTAGACAGTTTATACGTCGAGGCGCATGAGCCCTCACTGCACAAAAGACGTGATAAACTGATCCTGCAGTATGCTACGAAAATAGCAACTTTACCAAAACATATTCCATATCACACCATATGTAGACCATATCACGAGCATTTATATCTGCTCAAGACTAAAGTTAACCCACCATGCGGTATTCGCATACAACCCCTTTGTCTGATACTGGTATCAGCCATGACAGTATTCTGAATACCACCATGGGCTATATCTCCCCAAAGATCGATTTCGATCTTACTCAACATAAAAATAGATACTAGCTCTGTGGTGTTGCAGTCGCTCTCAGATAGCTACGGTCTAGGTATGGTTATTATACTCACATTTATACCGATGGTTCGAAAGATGGTGATCGGGTAGCTTCGGCTAACGTCACGCCATCCGAGACCATTTCCGTTCGTTTTCCACCTGCGACTTCTATTTTTACTGACTTCTATTTTTACTTGATTGTATTATCATCACATTTAAAACATATAATCTTTTCTGATTCTTTGTCCTGTTTACAAGCAATAAATAATAAAGAGCTTCAACACCCATTAGTAGCAGACTATCATATTTCATCTTGAAGCGAGACTACTGCTATTATATGATTGGTTATACGTACATGCCTAATGACGTCACAGTAATTTCCGCTCACGTGTATTTTAAACAATAACAAACTAGCCTTGACTCTAGCCCTCGTGTCCTGTTATTCTTATAATACTGATAACGAATTAATTTCGTTTCAAATAAACAGACACAAACCGTTATGATTTATACATATTTTGACAATGAAGAAAACACATGATATACGTGTTTATCAAATTATAGTTCATGTCCGTTGGTGTTCATGAATTTGGAACAAATATTATATCGGGGTCCTAATATTGTTAGAGATGACTGTATAGCCATTATAATCTTATACCCACGATAGCTACGTGTAAAACTATGACAGTCTTATAACCATGGTAACGTTATAAATAAACTAACATTGATTGTTATAATCAACACAGATTTATTAAAGATACATTATGAAAGAGCTAAATCTTCCTGTTACGGGTCGTTCTCTTGACCTCATGCCATGCTAGATCATGCTGACTCCTTTACTTTGATATACTGGACTAACTGCTAGATCATTATGACGCTTTTACTTTGATATACTGGACTACACACATTATGAAATTGTTTTTTTATTTAATTTATAAAGGGATAATTCAAACAACTTCTAAAAGCTTCACGAGAAAACATGACCTAAGACCACCATCACGACCCAGGGCGAGCAAAGTGAATGAAAATAATATAAATAACATATCAACACAAGAAGAAATAGCCAATCAAGGTAAATTGTAGTCATAAGAATGTCCAATAATTGCTCGTTATTGCGACAGACACCAAGGTTATTGACGGATTTCTTTTAAATATGATATGGTGATTGGGTACCTTGTGACGTTTGGTACCATGGTTAGTCCGTCGCTACTTCGTTATCGCGAAAGACACCAGGGTTGTTGACGGATTTCTTTTAAATTTTAAATGTTGTGTGATAATTAGAGACCTTCAGATGTTTGGTACCAGTGTTATTCCCCACTCCCCGTTTATTCTGTCACAACAATTTATTGTTCACTTGGAAATGACTATAATATCAACCAATCGATCATTTACGATCCATGGAGACGCAACCGTTTGGAGAAAAGTTTGAAAATTCAGCCGTGGCAATGACACGCGGTATTCCCTGCAATGCTAGTCCGTAAAAAACAACAACTTCAGTGTGGTCCAATATGGCCTGATCTGAATTAATCGTTAAGTACCGGTCGTCGCGGAGTATGGGGGCCTATTACATACATACAGTTAAACCAGGGTGTGTACGAGGACACACAACACATCCCTATTTTCATACTAAAAATATTTGGTGTACACAAAGTGGTAGGAATACACTTCGACAGAAACACCCTGTAGTCCTAATGAAATACAAAATGGATACACACTGTTTAATTAACGTGTGTTGTTTAATCATAATCAGAACTTATATACTATAATACTTATCAATTAATATTTTACAGACCGGGTATGCAATAAAACACAGTGTGAAATGAATGGTGGTGATTGTTCAATAGTGTTCTGTGCAACATACGGTTAGTAAAAAATCTTGGTCTTCAGTCTAGTATTCTACCATCTTTCTTACCAAGCATATTTTAATTATCTAACACAATTTCTATTAAAAAAATCATAGATTATTACAGTGACAACACGTAAAGACAAATTCCTTATTAACGCTATAGTCAGTGTCTGTAAAGTGATGCCGTGTATTGGCCATATTATTTTGTCATGCTGTTAAACGTACAGTTTGTAACTATATATAGACTATACTTGGTTGTAATACCTGTATATAGATAATATTCCAGCCCCATCATCAAGGTGCATATTTCTGTAATGATATCAGGACAATATATACAATATGATGGGGTCTTTATGTTTTCTGTCTTTCAGAAACAGATTGTGGAAGTGTTGTTTGTAATGAGCTGCAAGTGTGTATAAATAATACGTGTACAGAGCCCGGTACGTGTATTGAGTATCCAGTATTTACATTATTTTCAGCAGTGCCTATTTTAAGATTGACGAAGCACGGTTTCCGGAGATGATGAAGGTTTATTGATAGGTATTCCCCCCCACCCCATTTGTGTTCCGACAAAATGTCCAAAACGTAACTTGATATGCTCAATTTAGCTTCTTCTATCGCCTATATCAGCTCTACGATATCAGAATAAACCTTCTGAAATCGTGACCAATTAGTCGTGACCAAAACGGCTCACCAGAAGTGGAGTAAAAACATCCGGAATTATCAAGAAGCTTACACTTTTAAAACCAAACACGCGGCTGCAATACACAATACGCCGAGATTTTTTAAGAGATGTCCCAATGCCTCGTATCGAAGATGAACCTGAAACCTGTATCGCGTTCACAAGGTTTTTGGACAAGTTTGTTAACTCGAGAACGGAAGGTCACGAATGGTGAATATCGGTAGGTTTTGTCGTCTCATGACCCCAACGTTTCACACCATATTTGAAATAAAAAAAACACAGTTAAAACGGTACCGTCTATCGCTTTCACGATCCTTTCGAGGGGGCTTAACTCCGGAACTGAAGTTCGCGGAATGCTTATTATCGATAGGATTCGTGCTCTCAATTCATCACACTAGAAATCTCACAATCTCACAAGTTAAAATACGCGTTATCGTCTAGTGTCTGACAGGAAAGTAATTTTTTCATCACTCTTTCAATATATTACTTATTCTCTGGCACATTCATGAATAAATGATTTAGAAGAGATAAAACACTCTTTCGTTTGAACAAATAAGGGGGGTTGGATGGCCGAATGATTAGCACTGCGTGCTTTGACATAAGGTCTGCCATTGAGTCAACTGGAGTAGTTTCGATTCCCCGGTTGTACTAGACAGGGAGCAAGGTCGCCTGTCCAGCCTCGTGGGTTTTCTCCTCCGGTTTACTCCCACTGCTAAAGACCCCTACGTGCAAACGAATTATTGAAATAAAATTGAACCATGTGTTAGTCCCGAAATGACCTAGTTGTGTCGAGTGGACGTTAAACCCCATTCCCTCTCTCTTTGAGCAAAGCAATATGTCGCTATCAGACAAAACCTAATTTCGGAAAATATACTACTCTCAATTTATTTTCTTTATCGAAGGCCCGTTCGGATTAGCCATACTACGCACGAGGTTGCACTAGGGTCGCGATCATCGATCGATTTTTCTTATTGCACAATATGCTTATACTCGATTGTCCATTATTGTATAGTGACTTTTTTGTATGCCAGGTTGATTTCCGCTCATGTCGTCATAATGTTCCGGTTCGATGAATTTCGAGAAATGTTTTTCGAGAAATGTATTTGGAGAAATGTTTTGCAAGATATGCATTTTGACATTTGTATTTGGAAATTTGTTGTTTGAGATTATTTTTAGTTGTATTCCTTTGATGAAATGTAAATGTAGGCTAATTTTTTGATTTTCTAAAAATAAATTATCTTTATATTAAAATACAATTAACTTAAAAAAAAATACATTTTACATATCTAATATGACAAATGTCTGATTTGTGAAACAAATATTGATTTTAAGATATTTTAAATTACTTTCCTGTCAGACACTACAGGATAACGCGTATTTTAACTTTTAAATCCCCGCGCCCACCACTAACTTAATATTTAGCGTCATCCAACTGTAATACCCTTTTCAAGCTATGTAAAATTAAATGTGCAAGAATATAATTTACATTTCTGAAAAGGTAAATGAAACTTCTTTTTAGTAGTATTCTGTGTGATATCTGGAATGTGGTAGTAGTATGACCCGTATTTTGACATTTAAGACCCCACCCACCCCCTACCCTTCACTTAACAGAGTTTAATACCGTACACCTTTTCAAGTTATTTACTGGCACATTTATATTTACATACCTTGAAAAAAAAGATCAATGTTTCACGGTGCTAAACTTCATTAAGTGTGTTTGGGGGGGGGGGGGGTCACGGTGGCTAAGTGGGTAAGACGCTGGCTCGCTAGCCCGGAGGTCGGGTGTTCAATCCCTGCATTGGCCGAGAACGTTCATCTTGATTCCCGTGTACACATTGGCGTGCACGTAAAAGATCCCTTGACAGTTGGAATTCGATATAAGAGTAGGCCGTAGTGCCGTATTCCCGTCTTCATTAGCTCAGTTCGGAGCAGAACAGTGGGACGTTAAACCCCATTTTATTTATTAAATGAGGGGAGGGGAGGAGTATTTAAATTTAAAAAAAAACGATCTTAATAAGACATTTTCGATATCTATTTATATACTTCCGGAAGGTATTTATATTTACATAACTTGAAAAAAGAAAAAGACTGACTGACACGTAAATGGGGGGGGGGTGTATTTAACGTCAAAATACGGACAATAACACGAAATACAAGATATCGGGATGCATACCATTAAGAAGGTCCAAAATACATTTTAAACATTCTAAAATAGTTTCTAACATTTTCATATTGACGTACCTTGTTAAAGCAGATAACATTTGGATCGTCTGAATTCTATTTAGTGAAGGGGGGAGGGCGTATTCAAAAGTCAAAATACGCGTCTTAATACGAAATTCTAGTTATCGTGTAATGCTTCACCGGAAAGTATTTGCCTATCGCTCTTTGAATATACGAGTATTAGCTATTTTACTGGGACATTCATGATTACATGATTTAGAAGAGGTAAAGTCCTCTTTCGTTTGTGCAAAGAAATATGTCGCTTTCAAAAAATAACATAAGTACTGAAAATAGACTATTTTCAATTTATTTTATTTAATGCTAGATCATATTAACCAATACAGTATGTATTATATACTGTATATTAGTACATGTATATTATATATAGTATATTAGCTCGAAACTCGGCTTTTGCCCAGGGCCAAAGATCTACTTACCGGCCACCTTCCTATCTTGCATGCTTAATTAGCACATATAAAGAGTTATATGGAAGCGTAATAGAGCCACATATTTTTTTTATTATTCTATTTTCAATTTTTCAAGTTACTATCTTGAATTTTCAAGATACTAACTTGAATTTTCAAGATACTAACTTGAATTTTCAAGTTACTAACTTGAATTTTCAAGTTATTAACTTGAATTTTCAAGTTATTAACTTGAATTTTTCAATTTACTAACTTGAATTTTCAAGTTAGCTAACTTGAATTTTCAAGTTACTAACTTGAATTTTCAAGATACTAACTTGAAGTTACTAGTTACTTTTATCCGTTACATATCCGTTACATTTCTGGTAGCCTATATTTGTGTCAAGGCTGCTGTGTGGGCGTATTATCTTTCTTGTATGGCCTTTTACTACCCGGAATTTTCAAGTTATTGACTTACAGGCTTTAAAATTTTTTAGAAAAGAATAAATTAATGGCCCTATTATCCTCTGGGGGGGGGGGGCAGATGTCCTGGGGGGCAAGTGTCCGGTGAGTAAATGTCCGGGGGTAGATGTCCTAAGAGGGAAGATGTCTTCAGGAGGAAATGTCCTGGGTAAAAGTCCTAAAAGGGGGGGGGGTATCCGGGGGCAGATGTCCGGCGGGGGAGATATCCAGGTTGGGTGGGGTGATGTCGTGTATTACGTCAATAAAGACTATTTTTAGGACTGGGAACTGGGACGTTTGATTCGTCATTACGCACCAAATTTAATTTTTCTTTTTGTACTTCAAAAAGGTTTTCTATAGGGCTCAAAACTGTTAAAATGAATGAATGAATGAATGAATGAATGAATGAATGGTGTTTTATGGCTCGTCGACACCGTAATAATCTGGTCAAATTGCGCCAATCTATGTGCTATCGGAGATGATTTGCCTAATGCGCGGGGAGTAAATTCGCTGCAGGGGGAAACCGGAGTACCCGGAGGAAACCTGCGTGATCGAATAGGCTACTTCCGCACCTTGTCATTGAGGTCGGCGAGAACGGGATTCGTACCTCGACCAACCACCCGACCACCCTCAAAACTGTTGGACTAGTAAAATAGAATTTAATGAGATGATTTAAACTAAAGGCAGAACACTAACACATTTAGAACTTAGAATAAGGCCTTTTTTGAACCAGCGAGAGTGGAATTGTCCTATTTAGTATCTTGAAAATTCAAGTTAGTATCTTGAAAATTCAAGTTAGTATCTTGAAAATTCAAGTTAGTAACTTGAAAATTCAAGTTAGTATCTTGAAAATTAAGTTAGTATCTTGAAATTTCAAGTTAGTAACTTGAAAATTCAAGTTAGTAACTTGAAAATTCAAGTTAGTATCTTGAAAATTCAAGTTACTAACTTGAAAAATTGAAAATAGAATAATAAAAAAAATATGTGGCCCTATTACGCTTCCGTAGAGTTACCTTCCATCAACTGTTAATTGCAATAAACAGCTCAACATTGGTCTTTGATTGTGTTTAACTAATAAATTATCTTAAAGGAGAATGCTATTGTTATTGTAAAAGTTTAAATTTATTAATTACTTAGTTCATGAGCTGAATCTAACATATGTTTTAACATAGAAAGATATCACAACTGCTATATCTTGATAGACATAATAGTATTATTAAAATCACGTTCGTAAGCATATAACTCGAAATGCTCCCAACAAAGAGAATGAGAAGCGTAGGTGTTTGTTGATGGAGACCATGTTCGCGCCTCGTTGACATCATAGTGTCAGTATATAGCATATCACTGTAAGGTTGATATGGTTGACTAAGCAACAGATAACTGTTATAATGAAAATATACGACACTAAGTCGTCAATTTATAAACATAAAGTGTATAAGTTTGTTAACATGGTTAGTAGTCATTAAGTAGGTGTTTTGTCACTAAGGTGTTACAACTGTGACTATTGAATGATATACACGACTTTTGTCCACGTTTTTGTATTCAGTAGTAATAGTTGTTATAACTGGTCACGCTTCCACACTAGTAGTGACATCTTTTACAGGTAGTTGCACACCTGCTAATTAATGACAACTGTATAATGTCTAACCACTTTCTATAGATACTAAATATTAGTTTAGAATACTGATTACTATTATGATTTAATGACAAAAATTGTCGACGGTATCATATTACCAATGTACTGTCAGTAAATGGTATACTGTCAGTATATATTATACTATCAACATATAGTATATTGTCAGTATATATTATACTGTATGTATATAGTATACTGTCAGAAAAGGAACTATATGCCAGCTGCATCCTCTACAAATTTTGTTAACAAAGTAGGCATTATGATCTAAATAGTGTGACAATTGTTCAACACTGATTATTCCGTTGACTGATAAACTATGTTTTACTTAATTTTTTTTAGATACTCTTTACAGTACTGGGTTATGTAAGACCGTTAAATGTTATACCACTGATCAAGGTATGCCACATCTGTATGTTTGTATACAAATAGTTACAATGATATATTAGGACGCAGTATGTGAAAGTTCTCGCTATAGTAGTTTAAAAATAGATAATGAACAATGACTGTATTGAATATTTCAGTACCAAATTAAATTAATCTTAGCGAAGTTATGACTTTTTGGAGAATAATGGAGTCATTGCTACCGTTGTTATGATAATAAAAGACTTTCTGGCCACGTCATTATCCCAGGACAGTGATTTGTCTTTACTAAAGTCGAAAGTTAGATGAACTTAAGTTAATCCGGCTATGTTTGTGATTACAGGTGAATCATGTGGTTCTGGATATTGTACTGATAAATTATTTGAAAAGTGTATTAATAGCGTTTGTAGAGGTCAGTAAAATGTGAAAATATTAACAATTTTGGGTTTATGATTGGGGTGTTAAACATGTAAAATTGATATACTTGAGAACGGGTTTGTTACACGGCTGTACATTATCACCCCCTACATCCCAGGGCTTGATGAGTGGATATTTAACATGTAATATTGATATACTTGAGAACGAGTTTGCTTTATACGTCCTTACTATAACAATACACTGTCTGCAATACGGCACCAAAAAGGTATAGGTATTCGATGTATTTGCTCCACGTTGTATTAAATTTGACTTCTCCACGGACCTAATATAACTTTAATATAACTACTTTGTAACTCAAGAACACGTCGTTCTTCTGAAATGAGTTGTATATCAAGCACAGATACATAGGCACAAGCCGTAAATGATAGTTTCTATTAAGGTTTTACTGATAGCTACAGATACAATTGTAAATAGATAAACAGTAAATCCGTTTCAAAATCACACCAGTACTTTGGGGGTTGACCTCTCAATTGTAATACTATGTATAAGTTATTTAAGTTCTCTAAATGATGTTCTGTTTAATATAGAAATTCGTTACCTACATGATGTGTGACGAAAACTAGGCTATAACTCACTGATATTTATGCCAGTATCCATTTCTGGAAGGGTGTTACTATCGTCCAGGCATCGGTTGCAGAGATTAGTACAATTAAATAGAAAAATGTTAACGTTAAATGGTGCCCAAACGAAACACTTACCAAAAAGTGGTAATTGTCCCGCCCCAATAGCTGACGTATCTATACTTTTTATATAAGAAGTATATAAGGAGGTTAAATTATCCTTCAGACATCATTTAGACATCATTTAGATGGGCATCATAGAGTGATCCCTGGTGAACGTGTAGCGGCTTCGTCTTAAACGCCGGGATTCAGACATAATACAGGGTTCTTGGTTAGAGACCAGGATAGAGACAACATGTAATGTTTCAGCCGTTAGGTCTGAGTTCTGGGCTTGTTAAACGCATACTGTAGATATTATAGTAAACCATACCGTACTATCATAGATGTTGTAGTTTCCTGTACTATCATAGATGTTGTAGTTTCCTGTATTTCATATTTAAACATAGTGTCCCAGATTTATTTGATGATTGAGGTTTTATACACAACGTGGAAGTCAGAGTTAATTCATAATTGACACATTTAGAAAATACAGTTAAGGTCACATTAGCGTGCACGTGGCAGATGCCTTGGCATTTGGAATTCGATATAGGCCTCATAACACTCTATATGGCGTATGCCCGTCTTTATTTGAACAGTCGGAGCAGAAAGGTAGGACGTTAAACCACATTTCAGTTCATTCTCATACATCAATACCATTGTGTTTGAATATTAACTTTTACGTACCTTATTACTTATATAATAAAATTGAAACCTAAGTCAGGAGTATGTAAACTTCAGTTTATCAAATGTGTATCATCTCGATCCATACAAAATTTTATACACTCATAAATAGTCGGTAGATTGTTAGCATAATCCAACTCACTGACGGTCAGTTGTAGTACTATGCCCTAGCGGCAACCAAAACAAATAGGTAACACCATGGCTATGGGTCGCTGGCTAGGACGGAAAGTACAAAGCAACAAAAACATCCCACATCCAACGTGTGAGCCATACTAGCCTTCTGATTGTCTAGTATTGTCTCTGGTTATATTGTAATTCTTTACTTTAGGACTCAACTTTAAATATTGTGCATTTCGCAGCTTGCTAAAGTTGTGATTACAGGAATAACAATACCACCGTTTGTTTCTACATTGTATGCCAAGCACTGGCTGGATACATAGGTTACAAGCTCAGATCAAAATAAGTCATCCTCCCTATCCTACTCCCATCCGAACTCGCCAGTGCGAGTCTGCTGATAGAACTTGCTACATCTTCCCCTCTATAATCTACATGGTATTCTGAAAATCGACCACAGCTCTGATGGTTTTCTAACCTTAGGTTTCGCGGCTATCGTTTATTTAATTGGCCAAATATGACGTAATTAATTATAATGATTGGCTCTCAAGAGGCGAGCACTGTCCTGAAATGCACAATAGGATATAATTTATCCTTGACCTTAGATTTCATATCGTTCTATGGTTTCTATTTCAGTACGGTGTGATTATGATGGTAATTGTCTACATGGTACTTGTGACACAGGAACAGGCACGTGCAACGGTAAATATGCTAGTTCTTATTATGTTACAGATAGATGACAACAAGATATGTACCAAATGAATACAGGAGCTCAGACAGTTCCATTAGCATCATTACAACATGGTGTTAAGTTATATATATATTTTCACTGAGAAAGTATTTAATTCAGAACATTCTGATCTCACTGATCTAACCCACCACATTATGCTACATTCACTAATCTGACAGTTTCTTAACGACATGCTAATCTCACTGAACTGACCCACCACACGGTTTGTTAACAGCATGTTACCCAGCACACGTTTTTTAACAGCATGCTACTCACCACACGGTTTGTTAACAGCATGCTAACCCCACTGATGGCCTTTACCATAACGCTATTTAGAAATCTGAACGGCGGGTCACTTTCTTTAGTCTTGTTTCAACCAATAATGGTGTGAATAGTAGGACCGTAGCGTCGTTGGCTTCGTATTGCGTCCAATTCAAAGAGCGCTAAAGGCGCTCTTTGGGAGAACCGATTGTTTCGCCAATAGGCAAATTGACCATTGAATGCGTCGATTTGTTCAGGGGAGGCAGCTGCCCCTCTCGCCGCTACCTACGGGCCTGGAATAGACGCTTAAATTAAAATTACCATAATGTAGCAATGACAGCGATAGAGAATCTCTATGGACGGTATCAGATGTGTTTAACCTTGTTGCTGCACAACTGTTCCTTGGTTTTCCTCGACGTGTTCTTGTCAATGAAATAATATGGGGTTAAACGCCCAACCGTTCTACATCGACTGGGTTATATTCTTATACACAAAACCTTGAATCAGTTGAAATCTGAACTACTGACATTTTGACCCTACCGACACAAGTATGTAGCTCTTTATTTCATTTTTTTAAATTCCCCATACCGACATACCGTCTAATTACATCTTTTTGAATGAGCATAGGTACATTGTACCCACATCTGTCTAATCTAACACGAATTAGTTAATCTCGCAGGTAGCGCTGACATGCGAACAACAAGGGCGCCTTGACAAATTTACCCCTATATGACAGGACTGTCTAATATCTTTGGTATCAACATGTTACTTTGTTGATGTAAAATAATGATTAATATTTACAGTTCCGTGTAAAACTTACGATGACTGCCATGGTACACAATGCATCGGCGGTTTCTGCTCTGGTAAGTATACAATTTTGTAATTCAACCCAACAACCCACTGCTTTGATTAAAAGTCATCTGTTTTAGATGTGACTGCATTTACTAACTTAATCGATTTAATGAGTAGTAGTAGCCCAGAGTGGTGCTTTTGTTAAACTCCCCCTCCCCTCCCCCGAGGTACCAAGGAAGCCAAAGAACTATTTAAATGATCAGTCTTTCTTTCTGCCGGTCTCGTGAGACTTTTATTTCACGTTACTTTGGTGCTAAATCAGAGAAAGGGAGAAAATCAGCTTCACGTCCATTATTAACGCCATTTCGGGACAAGCGCATAGATCAGTATTATTTCGATAATTCACTTGCGCGTGGGGTTCGTTAACAGTAGGTGAAAACTAGAGGACCCGGAGAAAAGCCACGAGTTTGGACAAGCCACCCTACTCCTTGTCACAAACAAGAGGAGAATCGAAACCATCCCACTTGACTAAATGAAACACCTTATTATCTAAATCCGATAGATAGTGACGTAAGTGTTTATCAGAGGTACTGAAGGTATTGGTCGGTCTTTACCGTCATTGATCTCTCTATCTCTCCCTCTATCTCTTTCTCTCTCACTCCTTGGAATAACCGAACTGATATCACTCCTGATTTCACTACAGAAAGCTCAATCAACCATAGTTGACGATAAACGAGTTTTTATGATAATAATGTTGTTTTATTTATTCCAACTATTTTTGTATGTAATAACGTTCTATTTTGCCTTGGTGACGTAAAATTTGGGTCAGATTAATATTCTGTTATTTCTTTAATTTTTTTCAATTGCAGCCCCATTATGTGGAGAACCATATTGCCGTAAGTAAATATACATTTTAATGTTTTCTATAATTTAGAAAACTCAATAATTAGAACAATAGTGGTGGTTATCATAATCAGACCATTTTATTGGTTTCTTTAATTAAGACAACTGATTTATTAGAGTTCAGATTATTAGTGGTGTTTATCTCCACATAACATTTTTTACAGGGTTCATGTAAAGTCCCACTGTTACATGGCCATCATTATCTCCCAGAACATTTTATACAGGGTTACATGTAAAGTCCCACTGCCACATGGCCACCATTATCTCCCCGGGACAATTTATACACGGTTACATGTAAAGTCCCACTGTTACATGTCCATCATTATCTAATATAAATGTTCATTTCTTGAGCGACAAATCCATCCATAAGCATGCTCAAAGCGCTTTTAACAGCAATAACGTCCTGCCTACTGTCATAATTATGTCTCGTCAATTTTGCGTTAATGATATACATCCTCTGAGGTTCTAAAATTACTTCGTTTGCTACTCGCAAAACAGAAGATATTATTACATCATTATCTAAGGAAATATACGTTTTACCAATTTTCATACATCCCAAATCAAAAAACAGTCTACAACCATGATAAACAAGAAAATCTCGACCTAAAATTACGTTTCTATTGGAAACAACATGAAAAGCATGTCTAAACTTTTTACCCTTAATTTGAAATTCCAAATTTGCCCAGCCTAATAATTTCAGTTCAAGTCCATTTACTGACTGTAATGTAATTTTACTTTTATTTAATTTTGGTTTATATTTTAAAGAATTATACACGTGGTCACTAATTAAAGATACTTGTGCCCCTGTGTCAACTAATGATCGAAACATTTTTTTTCTATTTTAATTAAACAAGAACTTGAACAACCAGATATATTTATATAACATAATGGCTTCTGATATTTACTCTTCCCGTCAGCCTCCCTGAAAGAGTTTCTTAGTTTTCCCGTTTGCACGAAGTTTTCGACCTAACCGATGGGGCTCTTTGATAAAACTTCGGATTTAATTTAATATAGTCTTGAAATTTCCTACAGTTGCGTTGGAAGTGTCCTTCTATTCCACAGAACCAACACGCCATACCTCGTCGATTACTCGCTTTAACCTCATTTACTACTCGCTTTTGACGACAATCGCGGCTCACGTGACCTCGACGATAACAAATTCCACACGTGCGGGGTCTTATATGGCCAATATCCATGGGTTCATTTTCCCTACTGTTCTGACTTGGTTGGGTATGCGGCGCTCCTAATCTCAACGCAAACCTTTTTCTAATATTTTGTTCCTGCCTAGCCATCTCAACTGTTGCGATAAATGTTTGCGGATCTTCACGCAATATTTTTGTTTTTATGTACTCTTGCTGAAGACCGTCAACGAAAAAACTAATCAATTGCCTATCAAATTCCGGCTGTCCGCTATAATTTGAAAAGCCTTCACCGGCTAAGGATAAAATCCTCACCGCGAAAACCTGTACATTTTCATCGGGTTTTTGTTTAATTTTCCGTAGTAACGCCAACGCTTGTTGGGTATCCGTAATTTCTGAGAAAGTGTTAATTAATTCTGTTTTTAATGCATCCCACGTTACATTTTCATTCGCTACCATCTGCCTTTGAATAAAATTACTCACCACTCCCCTACTTGATTGAAACGCTACTAACTTTACCTTATTCTCCGGGACTGCAGCGAGAACGCAATATTTTTAACCCAATCTTTAAATTGCTTCGGGTCGCCTTTGTATGGTTCAATTATATTCGCGACCGTATTCGTGGAAATCGAAGAAGACAAGCCTGACAATTGGGTACTTAAAGTTCTGAAAATTTCCTCAGCCATTGTTTCAGATAGAATTTAGCGAAAACCAAAAATGAGATACTCACAGAATAATTAATACTAACTGTCCTGGTATACGGCTCCAAATCTAACTGTAGTACTATCAGTTGTTCAATCTTCACGCTGTGTTTTCTTCCGTGACGAAGTTACAACTACAGTTAGCTACGGTCTAGGTATGGTTATTATACTCACATTTATACCGATGGTTCGAAAGATGGTGATCGGGTAGCTTCGGCTAACGTCACGCCATCCGAGACCATTTCCGTTCGTTTTCCACCTGCGACTTCTATTTTTACTGACTTCTATTTTTACTTGATTGTATTATCATCACATTTAAAACATATAATCTTTTCTGATTCTTTGTCCTGTTTACAAGCAATAAATAATAAAGAGCTTCAACACCCATTAGTAGCAGACTATCATATTTCATCTTGAAGCGAGACTACTGCTATTATATGATTGGTTATACGTACATGCCTAATGACGTCACAGTAATTTCCGCTCACGTGTATTTTAAACAATAACAAACTAGTCTTGACTCTAGCCCTCGTGTCCTGTTATTCTTATAATACTGATAACGAATTAATTTCGTTTCAAATAAACAGACACAAACCGTTATGATTTATACATATTTTGACAATGAAGAAGACACATGATATACGTGTTTATCAAATTATAGTTCATGTCCGTTGGTGTTCATGAATTTGGAACAAATATTATATCGGGGTCCTAATATTGTTAGAGATGACTGTATAGCCATTATAATCTTATACCCACGATAGCTACGTGTAAAACTATGACAGTCTTATAACCATGGTAACGTTATAAATAAACTAACATTGATTGTTATAATCAACACAGATTTATTAAAGATACATTATGAAAGAGCTAAATCTTCCTGTTACGGGTCGTTCTCTTGACCTCATGCCATGCTAGATCATGCTGACTCCTTTACTTTGATATACTGGACTAACTGCTAGATCATTATGACGCTTTTACTTTGATATACTGGACTACACACATTATGAAATTGTTTTTTTATTTAATTTGTAAAGGGATAATTCAAACAACTTCTAAAAGCTTCACGAGAAAACAAGACCTAAGACCACCATCACGACCCAGGGCGAGCAAAGTGAATGAAAATAATATAAATAACATATCAACACAAGAAGAAATAGCCAATCAAGGTAAATTGTAGTCATAAGAATGTCCAATAATTGCTCGTTATTGCGACAGACACCAAGGTTATTGACGGATTTCTTTTAAATATGATATGGTGATTGGGTACCTTGTGACGTTTGGTACCATGGTTAGTCCGTCGCTACTTCGTTATCGCGAAAGACACCAGGGTTGTTGACGGATTTCTTTTAAATTTTAAATGTTGTGTGATAATTAGAGACCTTCAGATGTTTGGTACCAGTGTTATTCCCCACTCCCCCTTTATTCTGTCACAACAATTTATTGTTCACTTGGAAATGACTATAATATCAACCAATCGATCATTTACGATCCATGGAGACGCAACCGTTTGGAGAAAAGTTTGAAAATTCAGCCGTGGCAATGACACGCGGTATTCCCTGCAATGCTAGTCCGTAAAAAACAACAACTTCAGTGTGGTCCAATATGGCCTGATCTGAATTAATCGTTAAGTACCGGTCGTCGCGGAGTATGGGGGCCTATTACATACATACAGTTAAACCAGGGTGTGTACGAGGACACACAACACATCCCTATTTTCATACTAAAAATATTTGGTGTACACAAAGTGGTAGGAATACACTTCGACAGAAACACCCTGTAGTCCTAATGAAATACAAAATGGATATACACTGTTTAATTAACGTGTGTTGTTTAATCATAATCAGAATTTATATACTATAATACGTATCAATTAATATTTTACAGACCGGGTATGCAATAAAACACAGTGTGAAATGAATGGTGGTCATTGTTCAATAGCGTTCTGTGCAACATACGGTTAGTAAAAAATCTTGGTCTTCAGTCTAGTATTCTACCATCTTTCTTACCAAGCATATTTTTATTATCTAACACAATTTCTATTAAAAAAATCATAGATTATTACAGTGACAACACGTAAAGACAAATTCCTTATTAACGCTATAGTCAGTGTCTGTAAAGTGATGCCGTGTATTGGCCATATTATTTTGTCATGCTGTTAAACGTACAGTTTGTAACTATATATAGACTATACTTGGTTGTAATACCTGTATATAGATAATATTCCAGCCCCATCATCAAGGTGCATATTTCTGTAATGATATCAGGACAATATATACAATATGATGGGGTCTTTATGTTTTCTGTCTTTCAGAAACAGATTGTGGAAGTGTTGTTTGTAATGAGCTGCAAGTGTGTATAAATAATACGTGTACAGAGCCCGGTACGTGTATTGAGTATCCAGTATTTACATTATTTTCAGCAGTGCCTATTTTAAGATTGACGAAGCACGGTTTCCGGAGATGATGAAGGTTTATTGATAGGTATTCCCCCCCACCCCATTTGTGTTCCGACAAAATGTCCAAAACGTAACTTGATATGCTCAATTTAGCTTCTTCTATCGCCTATATCAGCTCTACGATATCAGAATAAACCTTCTGAAATCGTGACCAATTAGTCGTGACCAAAACGGCTCACCAGAAGTGGAGTAAAAACATCCGGAATTATCAAGAAGCTTACACTTTTAAAACCAAACACGCGGCTGCAATACACAATACGCCGAGATTTTTTAAGAGATGTCCCAATGCCTCGTATCGAAGATGAACCTGAAACCTGTATCGCGTTCACAAGGTTTTTGGACAAGTTTGTTAACTCGAGAACGGAAGGTCACGAATGGTGAATATCGGTAGGTTTTGTCGTCTCATGACCCCAACGTTTCACACCATATTTGAAATAAAAAAAACACAGTTAAAACGGTACCGTCTATCGCTTTCACGATCCTTTCGAGGGGGCTTAACTCCGGAACTGAAGTTCGCGGAATGCTTATTATCGATAGGATTCGTGCTCTCAATTCATCACACTAGAAATCTCACAATCTCACAAGTTAAAATACGCGTTATCGTCTAGTGTCTGACAGGAAAGTAATTTTTTCATCACTCTTTCAATATATTACTTATTCTCTGGCACATTCATGAATAAATGATTTAGAAGAGA